ACATCTGGTGAAAATTTCATGTCATTAGCACCTCTAGTAATATATTTACTGAGAAAAATGTTGACGTGTTCAATACTTATTTTACCCGCTGTATATTTATTCTAATCCATTTGTGCTGCTTGTCCAATCATTATCCTTTCAGATTAAGGGGGAAACTAAATTTAAAACAACCATGTGTTAACAGCAAGTTGCAATACTTAACTTSGTGGTAATAATGTAGATTCAGGATTGAAAAAAGTGATATAAACAAATATTAATAGAATGACTTTAAGAATTGTTATATTATTAGATATATTAATGTATTATGAAATTTGTAGTGTAACGTGTGTATGAATACAGTAAAAACAATTATACTGTATTTACAAAGGTATTTGTTTTTAGCATGACTTTGATCATATAGCTGCTTTTATTTTAGCTGTTCAAAACTATACATGTTCACTTTGGTTGGGAGCATGTATCAATGGAAGGACAGAACTTGATGAGCTGTTTGCTTCATCCTGTTTCAGAATGGTTTTTTTCTTCTTCTCTTTTTTATTATATAAAGTTACAGATGTTGTGTTCAAGATAAATAAAAGAAACAAAAAGACTGTTGCAGAAGTGAAGTCAAACACTTAAATGTTGCAGCCATGTCCTTTAAATTAGTACCAGTAAATCAGACCTTCAGGGAAGTGAGCAGCACCACAATGGCACTGCATGAGCTGAAGTGTCTGCAGAGGAAACCCGAGAAACTCGTTCTCAAACGCGAGCAAACCTTTAATAAGTGCCTTGAAAGATAGAAACTAATTAATAATTAGTCAGTGCAATAGTAGATTAGTGTGCTATAAATACAATATTAGTAATATGTTCAGATTTTAGATCAGTGCATAGACTTAATAATAAAAGCTGCTTGTGTAACAAAAGTTCCTTCTTATTATTTCCTTGAAATGCACTAACAGTAAATAATTCCCTGCAGACTTGTCCTCCTCAGATGGAAACAAGAGGCTTTAAAAACATGTTGCTTTAATTCTGCAGCATTAATCTGTTTTAAATTAAAGCTCGGAAGTTGGAAGACAACATCAAGATCCAGTTTGTCCTCTGAGGGTCGTGAACTATTTCTCATTGATTTCCGTGTGCCAAATACGTTCAGGTCTTGGTAGACTGAATTTGCTTTGAATATGGTGGGAGGAAAAAAAAAAAAGGAAAGTGGAGAAAGAGGACATTTTATTCCTCCCTGATGTTGCTGTCAGTTGTGTTGACGTGGCAACAAAGATGGTGAAGTTATTTGCAGATTACCTTCTTTCTGGTTTCTTTTCTCAAATTTGTTTGTTCCTGTTTTACTCAACCACAGTTTGTGGGAAAAAAAACAACAAATTCCAAGAAAAAATGCAGTTCGTGTGTGTGTGTGTGTGTGTGTGCGTGCGTGCGTGCGTGTGTGTGTGTGTCTCTCACTCTGTGTGTGTGTGTGCGTGCGTGCGTGCGTGCGTGCATGTGTGTGTGTTGGGATGACTACCAGGCCACTCGTCTGTGATGTTTAGCCAACTCCTCCTAACACTCCCTCTGAATACTTCTTTTGGTTCTCGTGGAGTCAAGTTGTAAAGATTCAGAAAAGAGAGCATAAAATATAGCTGTGCGTGTCTAACCCGAGCTGGGTATGCCAAACTAGACACATTGCTAACACAGATGGGCTTGGCAGGAAAGTTCCCGAGAACATTCAGCGATAGAACGAGGCCCGACCCTTTGCCCAGACAGAGACTGATGCAATCTGGAGCAAAGTGGACCTGAAGCCCCCGACAGGGGATGATACCTGAGCGTTTTGCTTCTCAAATAATGTGTTTTTATTATTTTAGTTTTTTATTAGCCTGTAAAACTTTGGTGTGGGGCTCTGTCTTAATAGAGATGAAGGTGAGACCCGGGAGCTTTCATGAAAACCTAGTAAAAGTGTTGTGTTCATCAACAACACAAACTGTTTACATTATGCGTTCCAGAATTATTTCTGTGTGGGTTTTCTGTTTTGCATTTGTTTCTGTGTCTTTTGTTTTGTCCCCTTATGCAGAGGCGTAAAGTAACAAAGTTCAAATACTTTGTCACTTTTTGGTTTACTTGAGTAATTATTTTGTAGACAACTTTTTACTTCCACTCRTTATGTTTTCACACGATTATCCATCTGTACTTTCTACTRACATTTTTTTTAAATGTAAGAAGTAGAAAGTTGTTACTCTTATTTCATTCTGGCTAGTTGTTAAAAAAACAACAAAAACATATCCAGATTTYTGGCACTTCCCAGATAAAGTGAACAWAATTGTGMTTGGATGAGACGTACAAWTAWATATYTYATTACAACACTCTGTTGGTTTGATCCATCACACCTACATGACAAATCARGTCACACTCCAGCAGGACACATGAGATGGATGTAGTCCAGTATGAAGATTACAGATGGCAGAGATATATACTGTATGCAGCTAAAACTAGTAGTCCACTGCATAGTTTTCAACACTGGCATTTTAATATAACACTATATTCATTGTGGCCTTTAGAAAAAATTTTTTTTGAAGAAGTCAGTTCCCAATAAATGTTATTTTGGAAAGTCTAATCACRCATTTTTACTTTTAAACCTTAAATACTTTTTATATCAGAAATCTACTTTTGACACTTAAGTACAGTAAATGTCTGGTACTTTAAGACTCTTACTCAAGTGATGCTCCTATTGGAAACTAATGTTTAACAAAGTTATTTTTTGGGAAGACACCGCGGTACTTACACGCAGTGCTGGCTCTAGCCATTTTGGRGCCCTAGGCGAGTTGAAGCGCACCCCGCCCCCCGCCGAACTATGTCCCATCCACCCCAATTTGAACCCCTAAAAACAAGTTTGACAGTGTAAGGTACTATGGTAAACTTAGATTTATTTGCTTTCACAGAAAGCAAAGTTATAAGGATTTTACATKATTTTGCAGATATACAGATGTATAGGAGCAATCTCAGATATTTTCAAGTCTTACTGATTTTTTCAAAACCTAATTTTCAAAATTATCTAACATGTCAGAGCCTGTAGGATGATTTAAAAACACTAAATAACATTAAACAGCCATCTTCCAACATGTTCTGCTGGTAGAAATAAGTTTTGAACTTTTCCCGTTCTCCTTTCCTCCTGCTTCACAGCAGGCACTTTTACATCCTCAGCGAGACTGACAACCCCCCACCCCTGCGTGGGTGCGAGTTGTATGGATTTTTAGCAAAATTTACGGATTTT